GAGGAAAGGAAAGGAAAGGAAAGGAAAGGAAAGGAAAGGAAAGGAAAGGAAAGGAAAGGAAAGGAAAGGAAAGGAAAGGAAAGGAAAGGAAAGGAAAGGAAAGGAAAGGAAAGGAAAGGAAAGGGTCAGTAAGGAAAAAGGATGTGGAAGCTGTCTGGAACAGTGTGAGAAGAATTATGACATGGAGTGTATGGCCTGGAAAGTATGAAAAAGGATGCTTGGTGGAATAATGAGTGAAAGAGATTGTGGATGGGAAAAATGCTTACAAGATGATACTCAAAAATGAGGATGAGACAGATATTGATTGTATAATGCCTGTTGGGAGAAAAAATAGCTGCAAACAATATAATCAAAGAGCAAGGGACTGTTAAAATACTTAGAGAAAAAGCAGAGAAATGTTGGTGGAAATTTTAAAAAAATGTTTGGAAATGGTTGAAAGGACTAAGCAAGCAGTTTCTGGCAGAGTGAATGGAATTAGAAAGAAAAGTGATAAAAATATTGGAGAGGAAACTGAAATGAAGGAATGCTGGAGTATTTAAAAATGTGTATGGGAGTAATTGTGGTAGCTTGAAGAGTGGACTTGAAGCAAGTGTTATAAATTGCATTGTCCAGTTTTAAAGGAAGTTATAAATACTAGGAGAATATTGAAAAATGGTAAGTTGCATGTATGTCATTGGATAAATATTAAAATATGGATGTGATTTGCTTATGGAATAGCTATGTGCTTTGCTTAATGTGTGCATGAGTCTACATCTGTGTTTAACAATTGGAAGAATCCTATTATTATTTCTTTTGACCAGAGGGGTACAAAGGTGACAGTGAGCAAGATTTAGGAATGATTTTATTTATTTATATTTCAAATTTGTCACTGCCCATCTCACTGCAGAGTGACTCTTTTATGCTTGGCAAGGGATGTTCAGGTGAGATTTTTGATGTTCAACAGCTTATTGAGAAATATATAAATGTGAGAAAGATTACTGTATGTTTATTGACTTAGAGAAACCATATGATAAATTGAATAGGCTTTGATTATGGAATATACTGCATGAACGTGGAGTTGAAGATTGGTTGCTGAATATGATAAGGGTGGTATATGATGGAAATAAAGCATATGCGAGAATAAATTGAAAGCTTAATGGATGGTTTAACACCGAGTAGGGAGTAAGATGAGGATGTGTGATGCCTCTTCATTGTTTAATGTATTTATGGATATGTCTATGGATACCTGGAGGCTCTACTCACAGTCACTTATGCCTTAGTCATCTCCCAGTTGAAGTACCATAATGTGCTCTACATGGAGCTACCCTTGAAGAGCATTCAGAAACTTCAGCTGGTGCAAAATGCAGCAGCGCAGGCAGTTATGGGTGCCTGTTGTTCAGCACATGTGCCATCTCTGTTCTGCAAGCTGCATTGCTGCTAGTTACCTTTAAAGCCCTTGATGGCTTGGGGCCAGGCTATTTACAGGCCATCCCACCCAGTCCAGCAGGAGGGGCAACCTCCAAGTCCTGTCAGCCAGGGAGTGTTGTCTGGTGGAACCCAGGAACAGTGCCTTTTCTGTCATGGAGCCCAGCCCCTGGGACTCCATTCTTCCGGAGATTAGACTCACCCTGACCCTGCTGGCCTTTCAGAAGGCCTTACAGACCTGGTTCTGTCACTGAGCCTGGGGTGCTGATGGTGTGGGTGAGCCTATTTCTTCATTGTATTAACTGTTATGAATAATTACTGGTGTTGTTGCTGGTTGTTTTTCTTGGCTGCTATTTATGTTATTTATAATTTTTATATATATTTCTATTTTGCTTTTAATTATTGTTAGCTAGAGTCATGTGCTTGAGATGGGAGCCATATAAATTTAATAAATAAGTTAATAAATTTAATGGCTAAATAAATAGTTACAACTGTCTTGGTTAGGATGTAGGCAAGGTGATGCTGTATTGTTGGCTAAGAAACCAAATGATTTGTACTGAATGTTGGTGTGATGCAATGAGAGTATGGCTCTGAAAATTGCATCACAGATCAAAGTAATTGTATCTGACAGGGAAAATAGAATAAATGATTGCAAGTTACACATAAATAGAGAGGAACTAGAGCAAGCAGATGAATCTGTGTACCTTGGTAGAATGTTCAGTAAAGATGGCAAAATGGATGGAGACATTTTGAGATGTAAAAATGGTGGTAAAAAGATAGTAGGCAGTATGTGGGTATATTGCAAGGAATAAATGTCTTGAATGAAGTGAAAACAGCTGCGTAGAAGAGTGGGCTTCTGCTCACTTTTTTATATAAAGTGAAAGTTGGATAAGTCAGGAGAAGCATAAAAGTAAGTTGAATGAAATGAGAAAGGGGTACTTAAGAATCATGTGTGATAGATGAGATAGGGTCAAGGATGAAAGGGTGCTGAAGGAATGTGGATTGAATACAAAAATAAGTGGTGAGAATGACGGAAGTACATTGAGGTGAGTTAGTCGTATAACAGTGAATGCTTGAAAATATGATGCTTGAAGATGATGGCTTATTTTATAGCATGTCAACTTGCTTTTAAAAAAAATCAAAACTTCAGAAAGCAATATTATAGCCAACTGAAACAGAGGTTCTAGTGAGTGTGAAGGAAATTGTTCATAGGAACAGTGGTGCTCCCTGGTACCACATTAGCCACTCTAGCTTTTGGAGCTTCTAATGCTGACCTGTCTTTTGAACAACTCTGAGCCTAGCAAACTTCAGAGGTATTTCTATCCACAGGAGTAGATCTTGATTTTTTGCTACAAATCTGGACTTTTCTTCAGAGTTATGGAACAGTAAGCAGATGCTTGGCAATCAAACCTGCATGTTGCATTAGTTTCTATGCAAGTTTTGCAAATGTTTTAATAAAAAATTATCCATGGATGGTTGAAGCCTCTACTGAAACACCGACCTGGGAAAACTCTAGCCCTTTCCCCTCCTACTTTTTGTCCAATCAAAATCCCTTGCTTAACAATATTTCTCCCCACAAAGGAAAAAAGTCTTTGTCCTTTAGAGAGACAAGCAGTGGAGGTGATTTTGAATGCTGACACACAGACAAAAATACAGACTGACACTCCACTAGTGCTATATGCATAAATAAAAATACAAACAAAGCAAGGAAGGAAAGTCATATACTATGTATTTGAAAGCAATACTAATTTTTTAGCAAATAATTTAATTTTAGAATGGGAAAGTTGTCTTAAATTCTATAAGCAGATACCAAATCTGGTAGTAGGGACAGATTTTGTTTTTGTTTTTTCCTGTTTAATCTTTGTTTTATATGGAAGGCACCTTAAATTCAGGATCCTCTTTCTTTTGGGTTAAAATGCCACAAGCTTTGGTGCTTGGAGTGGTACCAGAGCTAAGAAGAGGAAATTGTAAGTGAGTTTCCTGTCATCCATTTTGGGGTAATAAATGGTGTAAATTTAGCAGCATATTTGTAGAAATACACTATATATACATTAGAGATGCACAATTTCACATGGCCCTCAGAAATCTCCAAATATCCTCAAATTGTAATGTCTAATGAAACAGAAGGGTAAAATTAGTACATATATGGCTGGAGTGTATTGTATTAACTATATTTAATGTTCATTCAGTGTCAGTGTCAATAAAATGAAATGAAAATTAGTTTATTATCTTGGCTGCATCCACAAGTTTTTGGAGGATGGCCTCTAGCATATCTTTCAAAAGTCAAGTGTGAGTTTCAGCCAGAAAAAAAAAAGATCAGCATCTTAGTTGTATAGTATTACCTTGGGTTTCTTTATGAATTACAGATCCATTTGGGAAGGCAGATGATAAAGAGCCACTCAGCAACTCTGTCAGAAGCGATTCAGCCTTCATTGGAGGTAAGCTGAGCAAATCATGTTTTTCCAACACAGCTTGTGGGGTTGGGTCATATGTCTTAGTGATTCTTCCACCCTCATTTTCTTTTAGGTGGGTATAACTGCTAAAAGAACTTTCTCTTGCATTTCTCAAGTGTCCAATATTTCTGATTTGGAGGTATGTGTAGGCAGAGTAGAGAAAGAATAATATTTCTGAGTTTTTAATTTTTTTTCCCTTTTGTTTGTTGCTATTTTCATCTCGCTGGAAGCCATGGAGAATGTAATTACATATGCCACCCCCAGTGATTTCTTTATCCATCCACAATTTATCTCTAGCAACTTCAGAACCATGAGCATAGGGAAACAAGACATTATTGGCAGGATCTGTCCTGTTTATCTTAGGTTGCTTTTCCTGAGGATGGCAGCTTGGAATTCAGAACTATTAAGAAGGAAATTTATTTGAAAAGGGATTGTAACTAATCACCCGCTAATGTAGTTGTCATGTAACTGTATCTATTGCCATTGTGCCCAAAGCCTTAAAATACATTTTTGTTCTGTTTTGTGCTCTACGGAATAGATCCGAAAAGGCCTTTTGGAAGATGAGCACAATTTTCTGAGTTTCTTTGGGGTCACTCATCTTCTTTGTCTCATTGCACAATTCAGTGAAGTATTTTCAAACTTTATGACCCATTGGACTTCATAATTAAGTAACATGAATTAGAGTACCAAAGAGAAAGTAATTAAATTACTACTATATCCATTAAGGGTTGACCATCCCAAACCAATTGAATGAATATCCAGTTACAGCTAGACTGACTTGAAAACATGAATGTTTTAAATCCCCCCAATAGTAATTATGATAATTGAGAGTTCTTACCACTGTATAACTTCAGCTTCTATTCCATGAGCAGATTGGTGCTTAGATATCATTGGAAACTTGATAACAAAGTATATTCACTTAGGCTTCTTTTGGGGAAAAGGGATTGGCTATTCCCGATATCATGTGAGCAGATTTCCACAGTGAATTTCCTCTCCTTCCTCCTGCACAAGTACCCCCCTCTCCTCCAGTTGTCTCACAAGCTGCTGTAGGCTTCAAAATCTCAAAAGCATATTTAGAAGCAGTATGTGGGACTGCAGAATATCTGACCATTTTACTAACCAATAGACACCATTGGGTAGAAACCTTTCTGGTGAAATCGCAGTGAAATATTACATGATAACTATGCAACAACAGTGTTTGCTGAAGTAATTCAACATGTAGTACAGTGCAGTCAGGATTGGCTGGTTCTCTAATGAGATCAGGAAGAAGGCTCAAGAACAGCTGATGTTAAGTACAACTAATGTGTGTAATTATAAGCAAAAGTCAATTCTGCAGCAATGGTGAACTTCACAACTAAGTGAAATCTATTCTGCTGAGTGGGCCACATACCTCACTCTGAACTTCTCTTTATGTTTATGTTTTGTCTTTTGTTCCTCAGGTGTCATTGCAGTTGTGATCTTCATCATCTTTTCCATTGTGGCCATTATGAGCAGAGTCCTCTATCAACACAAACAGATGCATCGGAGCAGCCAGACAAAGGAGAAAGAGTATCCAGAGCACCTTGATCATTCTTTTAAGACTGAGGTTGACTTACAGAACCCAGTGAGCGAGTGCAAACGAGAATACTTTATCTAAAAGACTCCCTCACTCCTTGTTACACGTTGGCATTTCCATGATGATGGTGGTGGTGGTGGTGATGGTGTTTTTAATCCATCTATTACTTTGGAATTTCCCCACTCTTTGGAAAGAACTAATAGACACCGAAGAAATAGGCAGAATTCTCCATCCAAGGTCACCATAGCTAACACCTAACTGCTCAAGCAACTGTGTATCCTAACTAAGTTCCTCATTACATGCATGGTTGACTATTTAGTTTCTGGTTTTCTGAAATGTTGCTTTCTGGACCATTTCATGTTGGACCTGAGTGATATATACTAGAGGTAAAGTGTGCAAGCTAATTATGTAGCATTACAGCTATTGCAACAAGGTAGTGTGAAAGAATAAGACCAAATTATCTCACTAAAAGTGTATTTAAGATGAGCCAAATCCTTTGTTCTGCAATTTGGTGTAATAATTCTGTTTTGTGTCTGTGGTGCTCTGCTGAATTTGCAAGCTAAGGATCTGGAACAATCTTTTTTGTTCTTTTTTGTTCTTTTTGATCACTTTTTTCCCTTCAAACCGAAACAATTGACCGACACAGGATTGTAGTTTGCAAGAATACCATGTTTCCTTCTGAAAGGGCAGGCTAGAGAGAGCTGAGGCCAGTGGGATAATTCTGTCAAGCGCTTGCCCTCCTAGCATGGCCCTTTTATATTCTGGGTCAATGCTCAAGAATCACAGGGCACTCAAGGTGAACTTGTGAGACTCTGAGACACAGCTTGGCTTTGCAGGAGGCCTCCCACAAATATCCTCAACCACTCACATGCTCCCAGATAGAAAAGAGCTACAAGCCCACAGTACGGTTTGCCTAAAGAGGGAGAAGAGCAGAAAGTGGCTTTCTAGAATGATTTTCAAGCGCTCCTCATCTGAGGGCCACCCGGTTCCTGTCCTTGGAAGGAGCCCTTGGCAGCTGGGCCAGAGGAGCCCTGTGGGGAGGGCCCAAGAGGCTGAGGGGGCAAGAGACGTACTGGGTGCTCAGGGCCTTAGCAAATCCAGAGAGGTCCAGGCCTGCCCGGGGATTCTTGCCCCCTTTGGTCCCTGAGCACCACCTTCCCACTGGCTCTTCGGGGAGCAGCGCCTTCCTCCTCTTGGCCGGGCTGCTCTGCTCTTCCTCTTGGGTGGAATCCTATGAAGGGCCTCGAAAGGGGGCTTAAGCACTGCTCCTCTGCACCACCTTCAAGGCATGTGTGGCTCAGGAGTTGTGTGACCCACCTGCAGGCCCCTCAGGAAGCCATGTTTAAACAGGCCTTAAGGAACTTCAGGGATGCAAAAGCCCAGTCCTTCTCTCATTTCTGGGGGAGGTAATAAAAATGCCCCCCCCCACATGTAAGTGATCACTTTTTTTTTTTCTTTTCTTATTAACTTTTATCTGGAATGTTTTGATTTGAAAATTTCCCTCCCCCCTCCTTTTTTTTTTAAAATGTAGCATCTTGGATAAAAAGAGTTCTCCAAATAAGATATTCAGTCTAGGGAAACAGTTCCAACACATTTTTTGTGTGTGTGATTTTTATAGTTCTTTTTTTTCTTTTTTTCCCCAGAAGTGGTAGCTTCCCATGATAGACAGGACTAAAAAATATTGCAGTTGGGGGTGGTGTCAGTTTCATGACATTTACATAAGTAGCAACCTGGCAGCTTTTCCATTTCAAGGAGAATGACTAATGGAAATGTTTACAAACACACACACACACACACACACACACAAAACACATAGAAGAATGTCCATATTATGATGTAGCAAAGGTTCGATTGATTCACTGCAGTCTTGCAGTAATGAATGTTGCCTATCAAAAGGCCTGCCACCACTTTCAGCAGTGATTGTGGTAGGGATTGTGGCTTGTGCAGGCTATGGATTTCCTGTCCCAATGTAAAGCCTTTGTTATCGTGTTTCTATTATAGTAAATCAACCATTCAAGAAGAAAAAAATTGCAGCCCCCCAATCAAAACTCTGCAACAACCCCCTCCCCTTTTATGGATGAAAATATTATCCTATGGAAAGGAGGATCCCCTCCCCCCCCCCCGCATTATAGAAAGCGAACTATTCAATCAAAAGTCCATCTCATAAGCTCGGATGCAATCAATAACCTTTACTGGAACATGAAGCAATAGCTGAGGCACAGCCATTAGCACCTTCAGTTTTCAGACACTTTAGCAGCTTCTTATGTATTATTAGGGCATTTTGTAATCTCTCACATGAATAAATGGCTTAGTGATGCTGCTAAGAATCGACACCTGAACATAATTTGGATGCAAGCATTAAAGGTAGTGGGACCAAGCACTAATGCATAAATGTAAAGAAAATTCCAACAATTTAAATGCCAAGGCTTCTCCCTGCAAATATGTTATGAGGAAAATGTGAAATTTCCTAAAGAACACATTATTATAAAAAACATCTTGTCTCTTTTTAATAACATGTAGCTTAATTTCCAAGATGAGGTCCACACATCTTAAAGTTGCCAAGGTTGAGAAATACTGATCTAGCTGACTGTCTAGCTTTCTGTTTGGTTCATATTTATATCTAGTTCATTTTGAGTTTTCTACCAAGGGCTTAAACCCCTGATGCCAGAGATTTGCAATTCTTTTCCTGCCAAGAACCACCCTTGGCCTGAGAATTAATAGATCTAGGCCATATACTAAATTTGATTTAATTATACAGGTAGTCTCCAAGTTAAGAATGCCCAGGTTACAGACGACCCATACAATAGTTAGGAATGGAGCCTATTGTAGCAAAATTCGAGTTAAATGCACAACAGTTCGAGTTACTTATACTACTTATACAGTATTATACAATAATACTGTACTGGCTTACATACAAATTCAACTTAAGGACAAATCTTGGGAACGGAACTTGTTCTTAAACTGGCGACTACCTATAATGTCGATTTCAAGTGAGAGTGTTAGTACAATTATTTCCAATATATTTAATGGTTTTCCCTGGCATATTAGAAATTACAATTGGACCCCAACTTTGGAGGGCATGGGGGGCCTTGCTGAGGGCTCTGGAAAGCCATATCAGCCCTGGATTTTCAGGTTCTACATCCCCGATTTAAGCTGAGGATGCTATCAGACTTTGTGCGCTACACTGTATGTGTCTGTGCGCTAATTGTCTGGTTTGGCAAAGAAAGACAAGTATATTCTCTATATCACATTATAGTTCCCAGTCTCGCTTATCTGTCCAATGCTTGTATCATATAGTACTGCATGATACAAGATTTTGCACTAAGATTCTATATGGCTTGTTATCAAGTTTTGTTTTGTTTAGTTCTTCTTCTTCTTCTTCTTCTTCTTCTTCTTCTTCTTCTTCTTCTTCTTCTTCTTCTTCTTCTTCTTC